CGCAGTGACGTGATCTCAGCTCACTGCAACTTCTGCCTCTTGGGTTTAAGTGATTCTCCTGCCTTAGCCTCCTGATTAGCTGTGACTACAGGTGTGTGCTGCCACGCCAGCTAATTTTTTTTTTTTTTTTTTTGGGAGATGGAGTCTCGCTCTATTGCCCAGGCCGAAGAGCAGTGGCGCAACCTCGGCTCACTGCAACCTCCACCTCTTGGGTTCAAGCGATTCTCCTGCCTCAGCATCCCAAGTAGCTGGGATTACAGGTGCAAGCCACTATACCAAGCTAATTTTTGTATTTTTAGTAGAGACGGGGTTTTACCATGTTGGCCAAGCTGGTCTCGAACTCCTGACCTTAGGTGATCCATGTGCCTTGGCCTCCTGAAGCACTGGGATTACAGGTGTGAGCTACCACACCTGGCCTGGGATGACCGTAGAAACTTGTTGTGAATCAGTTGTGCCACACTGACTTAGGGTCATGTGCCACCTTGGAGAATGTAAAAAACTGCATACTCTCCATCTGACAAGAGCACATGCAATAGCCTTTTGGTTTAAACCATTCTGGGAGATTCATAGGCTGTCCCACGAAATCCAAACTCCGGGCCCATGTCAGGTGGCCAGTGAAGTGGCTGCAGTCCCCTCCACGTCTGTCACCCTTCACTCCACAGGCCTTGCACACCGTCTCCTCCCAGGATCCTGTGACGTCCCCAGTGAGGGAGAGGAAGGGACTACCAGTCCCTTTTGATAGACAGGAGGCTCCCATTCAGAGAGGTTGGGCGCCAGGCCTGGAGCCACGGCCCAGCCCAGAGGAGGGCAGGGCCTCGACTAGCCCTCATTTGGGTTCCTTACTCTTCCTGACAAGGGCAGTTTTGAAATCAGCAAATTCAGTGATGGGGACAGAGTGGGGAGCTTCTGAATGTGGCTGCAGATTTGAGTATAGAGGTGTGAACAGGTTCTAGAAAATTCCTAGGATGGCCTTTGAATGTTGTCTTTTTAGAACTAAATTCTTGTGAAACCCCATCTCTACTAAAAACACAAAAATTAGCTGGGTGTGGTGGCGCGTGCCTGTAGTCCCAGCTACTCAGAGGAGAATCCCTTGAACCCAGGAGGTGGAGGTTGCAGTGAGCCAAGATCGTGCCACTGCACTCCAGCCTGGTGACAGAGTGAGACTCTGTCTCAAAAAAAAAAAAAAAAAAAAAATAGAACTAAATCCTTGCTAGGTGTCCCCGCTGTCACTCTTACCTTCTCCTTCATTGCCCTCATCACAATCTGAAGGCCTGCCTGTGGTCCTTAGCTGTTTCCCGTGCTTAGAAGGTAATGTTGGCATCCCTGGACACTGGTGCTTATCAGCCCCATGATAAACAGCTGTGAAATGCGTCTGGCTAAGTGTGAGACGGTGCGGCTGCCACAGCTCTTCCTGTCTGGGCCTGAGATCCGTTTGGAACTTGTGTCACTGTCACCCTCTTGCTCCTTAAGCCCTTCTCGCCTCTGTTTCAGTTCTTTGCGAGTTTGGTGATGATCGCCTATGGAGTGAGCGCCTTCTTCAGCTACCAGGCCTGGCGAGGAGTAGGCAGCAATGCAGCTACCAGTCAGATGGCTGGTGGCTATGCCTAAACAGCCTGTGCCATGGCCCCCTCTGGGGCTGAAGCCGCTGCTGGGTCACAGAGCAGGGTCACCCTGCAAGCCTGAAGCTGGGGAGCCCTGCACAGAGGGTCAGCCCCGCAGGGACTACACTTGCTCCTCTCTGCCCATCAGACACAAGCTCTCACAGCGCTAAGGAAGCAGGCCCAGGCTGGCAGGCATCTGGGCTTGTGGGAGGCCAACCACGGAGACCTCCTCTCCATCCCCCTTATTCAGTGGAAGGTGACGGGGGAATCTGAGGCTGTGTCTCTGCCTTGTCTTTAGAGGACTTCAGCGTCCCAGGCTGGGGCCCACCCTTCTCACCAGCACTAAATGCACTAACAAGGACTCTAGACCTGTAGCCCCAGACCTGCTGTAGCGTAAGCCTAACAGGCAGCATGTAGCACCTTAGTCTTTGTTCCGGGAGAGCTAAGCAAGCTCGTGAAACCATTCTCCTTCCTTTAAACACAGTTCCGACCCACCTCTCCCTGGAGCCAACCTGTACAAAGCGGGTTATGATTGTCGACAGCATGGTCTTCCCTCCCTGCATTTCAGACACGCCAGTTACTGAAAGCAAATCAGTTTTCAGTGACTTCTCAACACTGAGAAGCCTGGCCAGGTTTCCTTCCCTTTCTTAAGCCTCTCTCTTTAATACTCCCTTTGGGTGAAGCTAACCTCAGTGCCAACTGCCTCCCCGACCCTGCTGACTAGGCACAGGGGACGCGAAGGAGGGAGGGAAGCAAGGCCTTGCCTGGCGAGTTGTCATGTGGTTGGTGGTGACTTTGTTTTTTTGTTTCATTTTTATAAAAATAAAGATGAGAGAAATTATTTGGACAAGATGTTGGGGAATCATTTTGCAGGTACTTATAACCTCCAGGGGGCCTGAGCTTGACTGTGTAAGATGCCTGCCGTAGGGCAGTTCACGATCTAGAGGCCTTCAGCACCACCTGCCAACTCTTTGCCCGGAGGGAGGCTGCCTACACTTCCTGCTTGCTGTATCTGGAGCAGTCCTGGTTTATGCTGTTTGTGCTGGCACAAGTAGAATTGCATGGCCTTTTATTCTCACAAGTGTCTCAGCTTGGCAATAACTTAGCCACCCTTGCCTTGGGCAGGTTAGGTGATCTTACTGAATGAAAGATTTCAACAATATCAGCTACCTCGCAAGTCTGCGAAGCTCAGAGGTCATATATCAAGGCCAGCCATGCTGCATGCTCAGAGCTGGTAGAGACAGCAGAGGAAAGCAGCTGAGTACTCCCGAGCTTATTTTTCCAACACCACAGAGCAGCGTTCTCCCAACAATAAGGTAAAAGCGTTTCTAGACACCCTCTGGTCCCTTTTTTTTATTTTTTTTGGAGATGGAGTCTCGCTGTGGTGCCCAGGCTGGAGTGCAGTGGTGCAATCTTGGCTCACTGTAATCTCCGCCTCCTGGGTTCAAGCAATTTTCCTGCCTCAGTCTTCCAAGTAGCTGGGATTATAGGCACCCGCCACCATGCCCGGCTAATTTTCGTATTTTTAGTAGAGATGGGGTTTCTCCATGTTGGCCAGGCTGGTCTGTAACTCCTGACCTCAGGTGATCCACCTACCTTGGCCTGTCAAAGTGCTGGGATTATAGGTATGAGCCACTGCACCTAGCCTCTGGTTCCTTTTTAAAAGTGGGAATTAAAATGTAACTAAGTTCAAACAGTTGCAGATGAGCTACTCTGTTATTAAGGGATGAAGGATTAAGTCCAGTACCTATGTCCTAGTCAGCCTGGGACAAGCCCAGTTTGAGATGTTGTCCTAGTATAATTTGTTTTTTAAGGGACAGGGTCTTGCTCTATTGTCCAGGCTGGAGTGCAGTGCCACAACCATAGCTCACTGCAGCTTTAACTGCCCAGGTTCAAGCAATGCTCCCGCCTCAGCCTCCTGAGTAGCTTGGACTACAGGTGCATGCCACCACGGCCAGCTAATTTTTAAGTTTTTTGTAGACACTGGGTCTTGATATATTGCCCAGGCTTGTCTTAAACTCCCAGCTTCAAGTGATTCTCCCTCCTCAGCCTCCGAAAGTGCTGAGATTATAGGTGTGAGTCACTGCACCTGGCCTTGGTATAAATATTAGTAGCATCACTGTTTAAAGTGTCTCAGAGTCTGAATAATAAATTAGTAATTCCTGGAATAAGTTGTAAGAGTTTGGTTTTAAGACCGGGCATGGTGGCTCATGCCTGTAATCCAAGCACTTTGGAGGCCAAGGCGGGTGGATCACCTGAGGTTGGGAGTTCAAGACCAGCCTGACCAACATGGTGAAACCTCGTCTTTAAAAAAAAAAGTTTGGTTTTAAGGAAGGGCAATGCATTTAAATGCAAAACAAATTCCTAGGCAAGTTAGAGAGCTCACCCGTTATGTTTCTGGCATGAATCAAACAGCCTGTTTCAGGGGACACATTAAAGGCGCTCTGTCAATCCTAAGTCTCAGCAGTTTGCGTGCCTTGTGTTCCACTGGGAGGAGTCCTAAGCAAGAGGACTAGGACTTCCTCACCCCAGGCCAGGTGGGACCCCCATCAAAGGTGGCACCTGACATCACAGTCTAGGTGTCTGTTGGTGGAGAGAGGCTGCTAGTTTATTTTAAAAGAAACCAGAAAGCCTACTTATAATATTAAGCAACAACAGACTTGCTTTTTTTCTGAGCAGAAACTCAAAAACTGGCCGGGCACAGTGGCTCACACCTGTCATCCCAGCACTCTGGGAGGTAGGTGGATCACCTGAGGTCAGGAGTTTGAGACCAACCTGACCAACATGGTGAAATCTGAAATCCTGTCTCTACTAAAAATTAGCTGGGCGTGGTGGTGGGTGCCTGTAATGTAATCCCAGCTATTCGGGAGGCAGCCCAATCTCTGAACCCAGGAAGTGGAGGTTGCAGTGAGCCAAGATCATGCCACTGCACTCTAGCCTGGGCAATAAGAGCAAAACTCCACCCCCCCACACCCCCCAAAAAAGTGTGAAAAACCAATTTGCCTTTATCGTTTTTTCATCATTTAATCTCTGGGACTTGTCCACTGGCCTTTTCTCAAGCAGGCAGACTGGTCCACAGGTCTCAGCAAGGGCCCCCAACACGCCTGGGCTGTGGTAGACAGTCCCATTTATAGACAGAGCAAGGAAAGCAAGCCCAGGGGAGGTGGCATTTTAAAAAGCTGGCTCTGAGTGGTTTTAAAGGGCCAAAGTGGGCTGGTGCAAGTACTGTGGTGTTTATAACTAATAGATCGGAACCAGTGGCAGGTTTCCTTGTTCCTTCTCTACTCCCATTGCTTCACTTGACTAGCCTTAAAACAAAAACAAAAAACAAAACCCACAAAGCAATAATAACCTGATGGCGGTGGCTGCGTTACAGAAAGAATAGACTCATCGAGAATGGTGGTTCTTGCAAAACACCTCAAATTTTACTCATGGTACAAAAGTATTTAATAAGTGACAGATCAGTACAGAAAAACACAGAGCTTGTAGCTTTTCCTTTAAAACCAGAATGGCCAAATGAAAAGTCAGTACAGATTCTTATTTTTACTATTAAAAAAAGTCAAAGAGACACACTGGGAATTGGACTACTATGTTTTTTTCTTTCTAGAGATGACATACATGTTTTCTCATAAGTAATCCAACACACACTGCACTACACCAAAGCAGACAGCCAGTAAAGCTGTGTTCTACCTGCTACTCATGCTGGGCTGGACAGTGGAACACCATCTTGGTAGGAGAGATTTTGACAGGAAAAAACTGCAGTCCCTACCTAAGCCAGAGAACCTAACAAACTGGTTTATACAGAAGGATTTTCAGCAGACATGCAAGCACACTAACATGCAATAAGAATCTGTTTTAGTCTATTTCTAGCACACAGCATACATTCATTGGTGTCCAGTAACATAGGAACGAACGCCAATGTAGAAAGCATTTTTGCCTTCACAGCACTAACACCTAAAAAGCCCACAGCATATAATACTTTGATCTTTTACGTGGATAATCATGGAAGTTCCAAGATCACATCCACTAGGTTAGCCTGAGTATTCATCTATAAAAATATTTTTTTTTTTCAAAAATAATGCTTAAAAGAGACTTCTAGAAACAGTGGGGACTAAATCAGAACCAGAAGACAGTGACACTAGGACTGGAAATGTTAGGACTAAGGGTGGCTTTTCAAGTGGAGCTTTTATCAGAGGACGTCTCTTTCTGTTGGTTCCTACAGCTGAGACAAGCTGTGATCACAGGAGATTCCGAAATCTCAAGATGAGCTAGAGTAACACCCTAGACAAACATCAGGAACCCCACTGAGGCTGAAGTACTGAAACCATGACCCATGTGAAAAAGGGGTGCAAGTGCACAAAAAGATTCATGCCGAGCCTGCTGGGGCAGGGGTGGTGACGGCGGGTGAGTCCACACTCACACACCAGCATGTGTGCTGGGGGAAGGCCCCCCCAGGTGGAGTGCCTGACATGGGCTCACTCCAGAAGCGTCTTTTGACTCAGAAGCTCCTGAGAGAGGTGTCTACTTGAGGAGGAGAGGAATACTATGGTAAATGAATACAAGGTGTTTCAGGAGAAACAGGTCCAGGAGGGGTTAGGTCATTTTGGTTTTGACCTATCAATACTTAACATACACGAAGAGTTACATAACAGAGCCAGTCTTTTTAAGATGTATTCTGTCATCATGAGCTGAGCCTATCGGGCCGGCGACATCCAGAATGATCCCATTCATTGGCTGGAGGTAGGACCTAGTGCCGCAGATTGTTGGGGGAAGCTGGCACAGATGATGATTTGCACAACGATGTCACCACTAAGCCACTGCTTAAATCCAGTCCTCGGCCTTCTTTTTCCTATATGAGAAAACAACCAAAGGCAAGGACTAGAAAGAACCCTGGCTTAGAATCTTGCCTCTGACGTGGGGAAGGTAGAGCTCAAGGTGGGAAGAGTACATAGGAAGAGAACAGAGGTTATTGGTTATCCTGCATTTCTCTTCAGTACTAGCCTGCCCTAGTCTTATTATTTTTAAGAGGCAGGGTTTTACTCTGTCACCAAGGCTGGAGTACAGTGGCTTGATCATAGCTAACTGCTGCCTGTAATTCCTGGGCTCAAGTGATCATCCTGCCTCAGCCTCCTGAGTAGCTATTACTACAAATGTGCACCACCAAACCTGGCTTTTTATTTATTTTTGAGACGAAGTTTCACTCTTTCACCCAGGCTGAAGGCAGTGGCGCGATCTCTGCTCATTGCAACTTGTGCCTTCCACTTTCAAGCAATTCTCTTGCCTCGGCTTCCCAAGTAGCTGGGAGTCAGGTGCCCGCCACCACACCCAGCTAATTTTTGTATTTTTCCATAGAGATGGGGTTTCACCATGTTGGCCAGGCTGGTCTCGAACTCCTAACCTCATGACTCGCCCGCCTCGGACTCCCAAAGTGCTGGGATTACAGGGATAAGACACTGTGCCCAGCCTATTTTTATTTTTGTAGAGACAGGGTCTTGCTATGTTACTCAGGCTAGTCTTGAACTCCTAAGCTCAAGCGATTCTCCTGTCTTGGCCTCCCAAAGCACTGGAACTGTAAGTATGAGCCACTGTGTCCAGCCTGGTCCTGGTCATTCTTAAAATGAACTCTTAAAAAAAGTACCTCCCTTGCAGTGAGCCGAGATTGCACCACTGCATTCCAGCCTGGACGACAGAGCAAGGACCCACCCCCAAAAAAAAAAAAAAAAAAAAAAAACTCCCTTCATGGGAAAACATTTTTCTTTCTTTTTTTTTGTGAGATGGGGGTCTTGCTGTGTTGCCCAGGCTGGAGTGCAGTAGCTATTCACAGGCACCACTACTGTGTAATACAGCCTCAAACTCCTGGGTCAAGTGATCTTCCTGTCTTGCCTTTCAAGCAGCTGGGACTACAGGCATGCACCACCACACCCAACACCATTTCTTTTTCTTTTTTTTTTTGACACAGGGTCGGACTGTCACCCCGGCTGGACTGCAGTGGTACAATCACAGCTCACGGCCCTCTCAACCTTCTGGGCTCAAGCAGTCCTCCTGCCCAGTCCCCAAAGTAGATGACTGAGACTATAGGTGTACACCATCACACCAAGCTAATTTTTATATTTTTCATACAGACAGGGTTTTGCCATGTTGCCTAGGCTGGTCTCAAACTCCTGAGCTCATGCCATCTGCGTGCCTCGGCCTCCCAAAGTGCTGGGATTCTAGGTGTGAGTCACCATGCCCGGTCTCCTATTTTTCTTATAAAGAGCTTGCATCATAAGAAAGGTGGCGGCTCACGTTTATAATCCCAGCACTCTGAGAGGCGGAGGCAGGAGGATCACCTGAGATCAGGAGTGGCCAACGTGGTAAAACCACATTTTTTATTTTGTAAAAGTACAAAAATTAGCCAGGTGTGGTGGCAGGTGCCTGTAGTACCAGCTACTCGGGAGGTGGAGGCAGGAAAATCACTTGAACCTGGGAGGCGGAGGTTGCAGTGAGCTGAGATCGCGCCATTGCACTCCAGCCTGGGTGACAAGAGCAAAACTTCATCTCAAAAAAAAAAAAAAAAAAAAAAGAAAGAAAAGAAAGGCAAGGTAGAATGAGACCTGTTTTGTCATTCTGATTAGGAACTCTAAGATGGTACCTGGGGCTTGTTTCATGAAAACATGAAAAGGTCCCAGCCACAGTAGAATAGCAGCTCACTCCTCTGATACCTCATCAGCTGCTGGACTGATACTGGCCACTTTAAAGGGAGAATGATGGGGGAAGCATGGGAGGTTTGTGTTTAGTATTTCTACCCGGAACTTTCTAAGTAGCTCAAAGTGGCTAAATAGGCAGGAGTAACTTACTGCTCTGTAGTCCAAAAACATTTCTTTAAAAGCCAGAAAATCTGTAAAGGTGAGCAGCATGTCGAATATGTCACCAGCCACTTCATCTTTATGATGCCTACAAAAGGAACAGACACCAGATGAAATAGTCCTCAAGATTGCGTTCATTTTTCTTTACCCCACTCCATCCCCACCCCCTGCACTTTTTTTTTTTTTTTTTGAGACTGGGTCTTCTCTGTCACCCAGGCAGGAGCACAGAGGTTCCATTATAGCTCACTGTAGCCTTGAACTCCTGGGCTCAAAAGATCCTCCAGCCCCAGCCTCCTGAGTAGCTAGGCCCACAGGTGTGCAACACCACACCTGACTAATTTGTTTTTTGTAGAGTTGGGCCTCACTATGTTGCACAGGCTGGTCTTCAACTCCTGAGCTCAAGTGATCCTCCTCCCTTGGCCTCCCAAAGCACTGGGAATACAGGCGTGAGCACTGTGCCTGGTCTTTTCAAGATTTCATTAAAAGGTTTGACGGCCTCCTACACAGGACCTAACCACAAGGGCATGCACAGGAAAATAAACAAAACAAGTAGGGTCTTTTGGTCAGCCTAGGCAAGGAAGAAAGTGAGAACAAAACAAAACACAAACATCAGTCAAGCTCAACTCACTGTAATGTTGTGGTGAAAGCTGCCATGTTAAATCCAGGAATCCGCTCCAGCAGCTGTTCTTCAATGTATTTTTCTACCAGAGAAATCTGCAACAGTAGAAAAGATTTTGGTGAGACCACACTTTGGGAAAACAAGACTTATAAAGCCTGCCCTCCAGCCCTTCAAACATTTCCTGAAGTCCTATTCTGTGTGCCACAATCTACACTGAGTGCCAAGGACACCAAAGAGGACCAAAACACAGCTTCTGTCCTGGAGAAGTACTCAGCCTGGTGTGGAAGAGAAGCACTAGCTGGTAATGATGCTGTAACAGGGCGGATGCCCTGATACAGGTGGAGACAGCGAGGAGCACCATGCCCACACCCACAACCCAGTGCTGGGTGCGATAACTGGGGGCTTTGCTTCCTGGGTGGATGGCATCTGTGCAAACAGAACATACAGAAAACATAGACATGGAAGCAGTCACAAGTTCTTTCTGGGCAGGTTTCATTGTTTATGCCACGTTTCCGTGTTAAGAAAATAAAGTCCTGGAGGCTGAAATGGATTCTTAGATGACAGAATCCCAGGGGGCTGCAAGAGACCTCAGGTTAAAGTGTAGAGACCCAGGGGTGACAAGCTGAGGTTCCTGGGTTCCAGTCTTGGTTTTTCCACCAACTAATTAGTGATCTTGGACTCAGTTTTCACTTTTACTTAACAGTCGTACATATCTGACTGGATTATACAGAAGAAAGAAAGAATGTGTGAAAGCAAGGAGGTTTGTCAAATGCATGCAGAAAGGTATGAAGAACTCATGTACTGTGACTGAAAGCAGGATTATGATAAGCCAAACCTATTTTGTTATCTTTATTTATTTTTTTTTTAGAGACGGGTCTTTCTGTGTTGCCCAGGCTGGTCTCAAACTCCTGAGCTCAAGTGATTCTTCCACCTCAGCCTCCCAAATAGCTGGCACTACAAGTCTGCTACCAAGCCCAGCTCAAACTTCTTTTAAATAAGGAGCCAATGAGCTAATCAAATATTTGCCTGAAAGCCTTTTGGAAAATGCCCAAAGGCTGTGCAGAGGAAAATGAACTTAAACCAGATTCTTATGAGGATTCCTGGCAATGTACTAGTGGCATATTTTAAAAGGCAGAAAATTTCAATGTCTTTTGATTCTAAATTTAAATTAAAAAAAAAACTCTGACCTCCTGGTAGGAGACATAGGAATCTACTTACGTATTCATTAAAAATAGGTGTGTAGGTGAGTTTATTCTCCTCTGTGTCTTCAAACTCCAGGTAGTACTTGTCCATGAAATTTCTCTGTAATAACTGGAACTCGTCATCTGAACCACAATGGGGAAAATTTACTCTTTTTAAGTGGAGATTACCAACAATTATGATTTATAAGCAGGCAGGATCTATGTCAGCAGTACTGCCTTCTCAATGGTCAATCTCTAGAAGGAAAGCTCATGTCTTAAGTGTGTATTAAATGGGACCTTGATGTTGAAATAGACCAATCCTGTTTTTTTTTTTTTTTTTTTTGAGATGGAGTCTTGCTCTGTCGCCCAGGCTGGAGTACAGTGGCATAATTTCGGCTCACTGCAACCTCCACCCTCTGGGTTCAAGCCAACATTCTCCTGCCTTAGTCTCCCAAGCAGCTGAGACTACAGGCGCGTGCCACCACGCCCAGCTAATTTTTGTATTTTTAGTAGAGATAGGGTTTTACCATGTTGGCCAGGATGGTCTCCATCTCTTGACCTTGTGATCCACCCACCTCGACCTCCCAAAGTGCTGGGATTACAGGCGTGAGCCACCGCATCTGGCCCTTTTTTTTTTTTTTTTTTTGAGCCGGGGTTTTGCTTGTCACCCAGGCTAGAGTTCAATGGTGTGATCTTGGTTCACTGCAACCTCTACCTCCGGGGTTCTTGCCTCAGTCTCCTGAGTAGCTGGGATTACAGGTGCGTGCCACCTCGCTGGGCTTATTTCGTATTTTTAGTAGAGACAGGGTTTCACTATGTTGGCCAGACTGGTCTTGAACTCTTGACCTCAGGTGATCTGCCTGCCTCAGCCTCCCAAAGTGCTGGGATTACAAGTGTTAGCCACCATGCTTGGCCCTCTTTTTTCTTTTTAAATTGTGGTGAAATATAAAATTTGTTTATCATTTTAATGTTTAAGCACACAGCTCAGTGGCTTTAAGTATGTTCACACTGTTGTGCAACAATCGCCATCCTTCAGTCCATTTTAAACACATCCACAAGGGTGGCTTGGGAACTCCCTCACATTACTTTTCTTATAAAGGAATGAATTGGTTCTCTCTTATTTTGATATAACTTCAGCAGCAGTTATGGAAACAGTGATTAAAAGTATGGGGTCTGAAAGAGGCTCGCCTGCCTGGGTTCGAATCCCATCTCAGCTGCTTACTTACTAGTTGTGTGACCTTGGGTAAGTTACTTAACTTCTCTAAACCCCAGATAAACTTCTCATTTATCTGGAAAATAAGAAGTGTTTATAGTATCTATTAATAGGACTGGAGGCAGAATTTAAATGAGAATTCATGTAAATAGATTAGTTCATAGTGAACACTTAATAAATGATAGGGAATACGGAATTTTTTCTGTTTTTTTAATTGGGACAGGGTCTCCCTATAGTGCCCAGGCTGGTCTTGAACTCCTAGACTCAAGCAGTCTGCCTGCTTTGGCCTCCCAAAGTGTTGGGATTACAAGTGTGAGCCACCACACCGAGCCTGGAATAAGGAATTTTAACAACTGAATAGATTATTTCTAAAAATAAAAGGAAAATTTCAGAAAGGACCCAGACCTTGGGATAAATACCATAGGCTCACAGAAGGCTCATTTTCCCATAGCATATAGGGTATAATAGGCAAGAGAACTGAATGGATTCTTCAGTATTCCCCAGAAATCCTCAAGTCCATATGGGAAAAGACCTTAATGATGAAACATCTATATTCAGGAGTTAAGGGCATGAACCTTTATATCTGAAGGTATAAAAACTTGGTCAGTAATTTTCATACTAAATGGATTACGCCATGGAGCCAATAACACCAAATAACAGTGTTCTTTTCCTCATTCTTATACAACTTAAAATCAACAGAATTTTCTCAAATGTAAGTTTTCCCCTCCTACATACTTGTCTTAAATCTCTGGGGACTGTGACTGCTTGCCTGTTACTTAGCAAGCTTCATGGATGCCCAAATACATCCACAAGTAGGAACTCAAAACCCAGGAAAATACAGAACAAGCTGAAGCTTAACATCTTGTTCTTAACCACAAGCCATGTGTGCTTGTGGTTATGGTTTTATGTGTTTTATGGCATGAAAATGTTAAAACTCAAAACTATCTAAAAATGAAATTGCTCCTACCCTGCATATGAAATAGAGTAGATCAGTATTTCCTATAGTGTTGCTAGTGTCCCATTACCTGAGTCAGTCCCTTCCAGGCCCCTGAATCTACGGTTATCGGATGTTTTCAGGAGTACTGGGGCTGTTTGTTTCTAAGACAAACTGCAGTAAGCCTTTATTTAAGTATTGCATTGTGCTACACTAAAAATTGCATGCAGCTTGATGTTTTCTATTTTTAAAATTAACTCTCCAAATTGATTTCAATGTCCTTAAAGAAGAAGTATGCCAGTCCTTAAAAACAGTATCTTAAAAGCTTACCCATGATAATGTCCTCTAAATATCCAACCACAGCATCAAATTCTGCATCCGAGGCAGAGGAGCTGAAAAACATTCCTGGATTAGGTGCTATTTCATATAATGCATTAATAAAATATTTGTAGTATGGACATTTTCAAACATGTACACGAGAAAAAAGTAGCAAACGAACTTCCCATCACCCATCTTCAGCAATTAAGAATGACTGTCTAATCCAGCAAGTCCAAACAGAAGAGAAACACTTGACACGTTTGTGACATGAACGTTCAATGTGACGACTACACTTTCATAAAACCGGGTTCTCCAGGCTCTTCGCTATCACCCCGTACCTGTCTGCGTGTATGCATGAACCTGGTGCGGGCAAAACACCTGCCAGGGGAGTCATTTTGGTCAGGAGTCCGGGAGGTGGGGGCCAGGGAGGGGTGGAGGGGCCTCGGGCGCACGGCCCGGCCTCCGCAGCTCAACCCCGCCAGGCTTTGCTGACAGCTGAGGGTTGACGGCTGGGAATTGTGACGGAGGCGCTGATCAACGGTGACACCCGCCTCGCACTCCCGTCCTACGGAGCCTGAAACCGGCGGCCTCAGTACTCCACAAAATGAAGGCCTGGAGCTGGGACAGAGCCTTGGCGGCCCCGACCCTGCCCGCCCCCCCGCCCCTAAGGACGCCCGTATTAGAGGGTCAGGCCCTGGGCGTACGCCCGCCGCACCCTGCGGAGTTACTCACAAAGACAGCGCAAAGCTTTCTTCTTCTAAGGCGTCCATCGCCACCGCCCCGCGTATGCTCCTACCCCGCCCGCGGCCCACCCACAAGCAGGGCGCGGCGGCTGGCCGGGTTAAGGCCTAGCAGCCAAGGCCGCGGCGGCTCACTGCCCAGTCGGGTCAGCGCCTGCGCGCCAGGCCCAGCCCTGGGTACCCGGCTGCGGCCACACGCCAGCCCGGCCTCTAGGCCCTGCCGGGCGCTCTGCACCCGCCGACGACGCCGCAGGTACAGGCCTAGGTGACTGCCGCTGGGACGCCGTGCCCCGCCTCCCGTCACTATGGTCACCGCAACCCCTTCCACCGCCTCACGGCTGGCCGACAGCCAATCACAGGCGCGCGTTACCGACGCCGGGGCGGGGCAAGACCGGGAGAGGAAGTCTGGGAAGGAAGTGCAGAGGGATGCGGGGCTTGGCGAGCGCTCTGTCTGGCGACTCCGTCTCACGTCGCCCCCCATTTTACAGATGAAGGAATCGATGCCACGAGCCTCAATTTCCTCACTTGCAACTCGAGAATAAATTGCATCTCGCAGAGTGTGGAAGATTAAATAAGTAGTTTAAGATGTGTTTGAAGAGAGCTTGTAAGTTGCCAAGTCGCGGGAGAGCCAGTCCTTTATCCCTTCAGTTCCTACCCCTCGTGGAAGGAAAGCCCCCAGCAGTAACTGATTTCTTGACTAATTATACAGGACGAGAACTGAAGAACTACTTTGAGCCACGCAATCAGGAATCAGATACCTTTCAGGAAAAGGCCTCTTCAAAACTATCGGACTTTGAAAAATGACTTGAGCTGATTTCTCTTGCTTGGACAACTAAGCTTTGTGTCTCTTTGGTTGCATGATATCTTTTGGCCAAAATGTGGTATATGACTAGAGTGGTTTAAAATATGAACTGAGGGTCAGATTGCAAGTCAGAATGGGTTAGCAGACTTTTTTTTGGGGGGGGGTGGGGACAGAGTCTTGCTCTGTCGCCCAGGCTGAAGTGCAGTGGCACAATCTCGGCTGGCTGCAACATCCACCACCCGGGTTCAAGCGATTCTTGTGCCTCAACCTCCCAAATAGCTGGGATTATAAGTACCCGCCACCATGCCTGGTTAATTTTTGTATTTTTAGTAGAGACGGGGTTTCACCATGTTGGCCAGGCTGGTCTGGAACTCCTGACCTCAGGTGATCGATCCATCCACATCGGCCTCCCAAAGTGCTGGGATTACAGGTGTAAGCCACTGTGCCTGGCCTACCAGACATCTTTGAATGGACATAAAGTAGATACCTTTTGAGATCTGTAACAAAGATGGTTACAAAGACACAGTTGGGTGTAACAGCAGTGACCAAGTGACAGAGTCTTGCTCTGTCACCCAGGCTGGAGTACAGTGGCACAATCAGTTCACTGCAACCTCTGCCTCCCGGGGTCGAGGAATTCTCCTGCCTCAGCCTCCCAAGTAGCTGGGATTTGTGCCAGTACACCCGGCTAATTTATGTATTTTTAGTAGAGACAGGCTTTCACCATGTTGACCAGGGTTATCTCAAACTCCTGACCTGAGGTGATCCGCCAGCCTTGGCCTCCCAAAGTGCTGGGATTACAGGCAAGCCACCACACCCAATTGGGTGACATCAGTTACGAGTTACTCTGTTTAGCACCAGGAGGAAGATAGGCATTTTAAAAGTTTGCTGAATTACTGGACTGAGTTGTTTAGTCAAGCCCTGGTCACACAGCTCACAGCAAACTCAGAAATTTCTTCATGACCTACTTTCTCTATATAACACACATTTTGGACAAAATGAACTTGCCTACCCTTCCTAAGTCATTTATGGAGTGAAGGAGCAACACCATCTGTTCTGGTTATCTATTGCTTTTACAAACCACGTGAAAACTTAGTGATTTAAAACAACCATTTTGCTCACTAATCTGCTGTTGGCTGGGGCAGCTGGAAGGGACTAGAGGAGCTTCTTCCAAGGAGTTTACTCACGTGGCTGGCAAATTAGTGTTGGCTCTTGGCTGGGAGCCCAGTTGTGGATGCTGACCAGAGAATGGGCTGGGAGTTGGGGGCGGGGGGGTGGGTGGAGGTGTCTCAGTTCCTCTCCATGTATAGGATTCAGGGGATTCTTGGGTTTTTCTTGCACCATGGTGCTGGGTCCAAGAGCAAGTGTTTCAAGAGACACTGAAATGGAAGCTGGCAGTCACTTAAATGCCTGGTACCGGAAACCAGCACAGTATCCCTTCCACTGTGTTCCACTATCAAGCAGACACAGAGCCACCCAAATTTAAGGAGAGTAGATCTAAACCTCATTTCTTGATGCGAGGGATGACAATTAATTTGTGGCTATCTTTTAATCCATTTCACCACCCTTGGCTCTAGGAACAAATGGTGATTAAGATAAAAGGTACCCACTCACTCAGGGATGTATTAATGTGCTAAACATTTATAAATACATTGTCTCCTTTTGAAATATTTGAAACCCTATAAAAACAAAAACCAACCAGTATGAGGTGGGTATTATCTCCACTTTACAGACGGGGAAACCAAACCTTAGCGGGTCCTGGGTCCAGTCCCACTCCAAAGGACCTGTGTTCAACCATCATGCTATACACCCCTAATCCCTGGGTTGTTAAACCATATTCCCGGAAATCATAACATGTTTTCTCTGAATACAGAATAGCCTTTTTCCACTTGTAGAAAAATTAAAAACTGACTTGACTACACTAAATGTTTTTCCATTAATACTCATTTTTTAAATCCTTTGGGGGTTGGCACCAGGCATTCTTCTGAGTGAATAAATAGCAAAAGGTAAATAATGGGCAATCTTGCAAACAGCTGATCTTAGGTGGATGGTTTGTTTTGGTGGATACACATTCAAGATGGCTGAAACTTGTGCAAAAGTCATTTTCTGCTGGTGAAATTGCATGTTTTGTGACTGAATCATGGTTTCCTGGCACTATGCAAATGGCACCATGACTTTCTCCTGCTGTATGCCATTCGAAAAAGGAGGCAATTCATTAACTTTTTTTTGGCTGAAACGCTGGATTTCCCCAATGAATCACCTGACGAAATGCCATAATTTTTTTTCTCCCTGGTAACAATATATCAGTAGTAAAAGTCTAGCTTTAAATTTCTCTTAAATGCTTGCATTCAGTTCAGATTATGGATATACTATTTACCGTTCCACATAGCTTGCTAAACCCTAGTTTTTCTTTGATGTGGAGTTCCTGTCTTTTCCTTTGAGGTAACTCCAAATTTACAACTTAGCTTCCATCCCGGATGATTTAATGAATTTAATATTGAAGTCCTTTTGTTTTATGGTCTAGAAGTTAAGAATTAGAAAAGTAAACCTCCTTAGGAACAAAGTTCAAGGGTAGCTTTTTAGAGAGCTGTTAGGCTCCTACATTACTTTCCCTTGCAAATTATCTATTAATTCCATCTATTTTTCCCTATCTCCACTAAATGTACAGATTACCTTTAGTCTCAGCTGGACCACTTCCAAGTTTCTTTACTGGTCTATTTCCATTTTTTCCTTATCCTTTATCTCCACCCCACCCCACTCCTCCATTCCATTCTCCGAATAGAAACCAGAGCCATCTTTTAGAATTATTTATCAAGGCATGTCCATGCTTAAACACCTTTGCTTTCTACTGCACTTAGTATAAAATAAAAAATCCTTCACATGGCCTTCATAAGCAGTTCCCTGGCCACTCCAACACTGTAACATTACTATCCTACCTACTTGGTTCCTATTTTTCTAGTTACAGGGACCTTCCATCAGATCCCCAAACCCACTGAGACCAGTTCTTCCTCAGTATCTTTGCCTAAAATGTTGTTTGCCTAGCTTCCCAGTCCTAGAAGCTAGTCCTCAGTCTCTGACAGGCTATGTTCTACTTCCTCCTTTAAGTTTCACTAGTGTTACTTCCTCAGGTTTCTTCTGACATCCCACCACCATCTAAATTAGGTCCCCTCATTCTCTCTAGGACCCTATTCTTTTCCATTAAAAATTTGTTACACACAAATATATTGTCTTCTCTCCACTATTAGACATAAGCTCTACAAACAGATATTTTGTATACCACATAGGCACAGTGCCTAGCACGTATTAGGTGCTCAATAACAATGTGCTGGGTGAGTAAGTGATTGGCCTTATTCTTAATTCTAATACTTGATTCTCTCCTACCCCCAAAAGTAGCCCTTAAAGTCTAAGAGTGTAATGTCTTGGAACCTTAGCAGTATACACCAATGAAAGTTGTGAAATCTTAAGTCAAAAAAGGCAACAGATGTTTTATTCTTCAATGCAAATTACTGTATTCACCACAAGCTAAAGAAGAGAACATGTATCTACATATATATTTATATTTATATATATTTTTGGAGTTATGGAAGACTAAAGACATGGAAAAAAATCCAGCACCCCAACATATACAGCCAGGAAGGAAATCAGCTCTGGAATAGGACAGGTATAATGAACTACAAACAAGAAAGGGTGGGAAAAGAAGAAAAAAAAATGTGCGTTGAGTTTAAGACACTGTAAAACTCAGAAGACATATTTACTATTCAAGTATAAACTCTGTAAGGAATTGGCATAAATTGAAAGGCAGCTGCTGAGGTACACCATTATAAAAGAAGTTCTATGAATTTACAATTCTACCTTCCAATTTCCTGGGAGAAAAAACCAAACTCTTGAAGGTCTTCACCAGAGACCCTGAGAGGGATTAACACTTTTGATGAAGACATAGTCAATAATTCATGATTGAACTTGCTATTCAAAAACATGTATTTATTTAGAACAATAGAAATACGTGTTCTCAGACTGTCCTCTAGAGTTTTTGAGACTATTAGTTCAAGAGTTTCAAAGTATATTACTTGTAAAAACAACATTGATTAAAAAAATTTTTAAACAAAAAAACAGAAAGCTGATTTGATGGTACCTTAAAAATACCCTAAATACCAAATTTTCTCCAACCTAACATTGCAGCTAATTTAAGAATTCCTCCTGCATTGATAAAACATTTTTTCCTCATAAAATGTGAGTACTGAAACTGGATAGAAACACTATGAATGTGAAAATATCACCAATTTTCTGCAGTAAAAAAAACAAAACAAAAAAACAAAAAAAACCTAGAATGTTCTTTGGAATCACTGAAATATCAAAAATTTGGGTTTTTTTCCTACAGTCTGTGCACCTTCTTTCAGGTTCTCTGTTTTGCTTGTAGTACTGACTGTGTAATTCTAATTTTTATAGATTCAAGTCTTGCAGTGCAATATCCATGCTTAACCCACCGGTGTCTCT